AGTGCGTGTAAGCAGTGTTCGCAAAAAAACGGCACACTATCGTAGTGTACCGTACCAGGAACACAAACACGAAAAAAATTTTAGCGTTAGTGTTCCGGTACACAAACTTTAAAAAATATTTTAGTGTTCCACTGGCCGGAACACTAATAATCGCTGTGATCCGCTTGTCGGAACACAAAAACATATTTATTTTTTGTATTAAGAAATATTATATCTTGGTTTTCAATAAAAATTTAATCATACATATTATTATATAAGAAAAATGATTACATAAATTTAATTTAATTTGTTATTGAAATAATTTTATTTTTTTACTTCCAATTTAAAGAGTGAGTGAAACAAATTTTAGATATACAGAAATATATTTCTGTTTTCTAAGAAAAATGGTTTGGGATCTAAAAACTAATTATTTTGTCTTTTTATAAAAGATATACACGTTTTTTACATTTGTATTTGTTTATATTTTATTCAAACCTAAAAATATTATATTAACAACAACAGTGTAACATAATAAATATTTTATAACTAAAAAATAATATCCTGTACCACAGTAAGGTGAAGGGTAAAATGACTTCTAGTCAAAATTCAATCTGATGGCAATTCGTAATTGAAAATTCCATTGGATTTTACCATTAATATATGCTCCAGATTTAATGCTGATAGCCGGTTGCGATGATCAGAAAAAATATATTTCATAGCTGAAAACAAACGTTCAACGCCACTGATAATGTTCTTCTGAGAATTCTAAAATATCTACATTGAGGGGTAAACTGGACTGTCGCTCATAAATGGCGACATCGGCTTCAAAATTATTAAGATTCGTACAATTTTGGGTATACGTTGTTGGGTCTAAAATCTGCAAATAATCGGAGAATGATTTTGCTGATGATCTGCTTGTTGATGGGGTTTCATCTTGCATTGTATAGACTGGTGTGGAATCTACAAATAAAAAGTGATTAATATGAATAGTTTGTATTGTTTTTTTTACTCACCTTCTATGGAGTGTATACGTTTATACAAAGATGCAATGTACTTCTTCGCTCTTTCGTTTTGTTCGCTTGTCATACCGACTTTAAACCGTGGATCCAAAAACACAGCCGAATTAAAGAGCTCGTTATCAAATAGCATATCCGTTCTTTTCTTTAAAGAGTATTTTAGTAGATTTTTCATTTCGGTATCTGGTAAAACGTCGATTTGGAATGTAATTTCCATTATAATTATATATAGTTCGCTATAGCACAGCTGTTCAGTTTGCAGTTTCATTGTAGCCACATAAATGGATTTAAATAATTCAACAAATTCATTTGAGAAGTTCCAGTCTTCAGGGCTATGGTACAATTCAGGATTGTCGGTGCTTAAAGTATTTACCTACTATTTCATTTCCAGCAATCTTTTGATTATTATACGTTGAATTCCAGCAACGTATGGGCATCACAACGAATGTTTGTGATTTTGAAAACGGAATTATTGAAGTCAATTGACTCTATTTTGTTAATCATGGCACGGCAATCGCCATCATCTTCTTCTTCTTCGTTATCCACGGTTTCTTCGTCCATTAATTCTAATGCGGAGTTCAACAATTTTACCGTTTTTATCATATTCGATCCGTTGTCGGTGGTAATCGTTAAAATGTTCCGGACATCAACACAATATTTCCTCAGAACTTCCATTAGCAGTGATTTTATGTACTCAGATGTATGAATTGACATTAGCACTTTTACTGCCAAAGTTTTAACAACAACTGTTCCATCTTTTACATATTGCACGGTGATCCCGAGCATACTCAAATCCAACCTGGTTACCACATCAATCTTAACAGAAAATAGTATATATTTCAAGTCTTCCGATATTTCAGTTTTTAGATTTTTTGAAAATGCAATTATTCGATCCATTATGTTGTGTTCATTAACTGATATTCCGAGTAAACTTAGAACTGTACCAATAAGAATTTTAAAGGCCCTATCTTCGGCCATGTGCAAAGGACGTCCATTTTTGGTGAATAACTCCACTATTGTTAGTTCGATGTTCTTTGGATTTACACTTGTTCGCAGCAACACTTTATTTGAACATTTTGGTGCCACTTTCCGCTTTTGTGCAATGTAGTTTGCATATAGATCCGGATGACACCTCTTTAAATGTCTTTCTAAATTGCCAGTATGATCATTTAAAATCACCAAATTTTGAATATTTTTGTTAAATTTATTTTTTTAAATATGAATTATATACAGGTATATATGACAGTTTTTACCCTTTAAGATTTTTTATACTAACATTTTACAATGAGATCCCCAATATTATTGAAAATTGATTAAAAATGTATGTCCGTTGACGTGACATGCTAACTCAAAATTTATGTTATAATTTTTTCCAAAGCTATATAATTTTCTCACTAAAACTGGCATAATTATTTCAAATGAACCTTTTCACTTTTGTAATTCGAAATTAAGATATATTTCCAATTCAATAGTTTTGATTTTATTGTAGTACTTATTTTTTTATTATTTGATCAAATGTTTCCTCACAACTCGAAAAACATACGTGTATGGTACACTACCTGTACAGTTCCGGCAAGTGGAACGCTACGACTTTTAGTGTCCCGGCTAGTGGAACACTAAAATTTTCAGTGTTCCGACCAGTGGAACACTAAAATTTTTAATGTACCGCAGTCGGTACACTATGATTTTTAGTGTACCGCAGTCCATACACTACGATTTTTAGTGTACCGCAGCCGGTACGCTATGATTTTCGTTGTGCTCCGGAACAGTAACGCTACAAATATTTTTAGTGTTTGTGTACCGGTACAGTACGTTATTTTAGTGTACCTATCCACCTTGGTATGGTACAGAACACTATGGTACGGTACCATAATGTTTATTTTCGAACGCTGCGTGTAAATGATAACGCTTGTGTGCGTTGCTGCGGTGCATCAATAATAAAGGCAATGCTCAACTGATAATGCACTCAGCAAGGGACAAGCAAGTAGTTCTAGTGATAAGTACACAGAATAAGATAGCCTAAGATTTCTGTGACGGTCTAGCTCTTAAATGAATTAATATTTTTAATAAATTCAGAAGCGAATTAACATCCATAAAGAAAACTTCTTAAACAGTGATCCTTCGATAGAAAAGAAGCAGCGACCGTCAACATAAAAAAGAAATAATAATATTAAGAAAATATATATATATATATAGAATATATATATATATATATATATATATTATTGTAAAAGAAAACCCTTACAAGAAGCCAAAAAGGCTCATAAAAATAAAAGTAGCCAAAAAGGTTCAACAAAATAAAAAAAAACAAAGAAGGCACAAAGAAGAAAAAAAAGCAAAAAAATGCACAAAGACACGCCAAAAAAGGGCACAAAAAAGCCAATATAGGCAAAATATTAAAAAATATTAATAAATAAATATTAATATTAAAAAAAAGAAACAAAGCAAAAAATAAATAAAATAAATAAAAAATAAATAAAAATTTTTTAAATATGAATTATATACAGGTATATATGACAGTTTTTACCCTTTAAGATTTTTTATACTAACATTTTACAATGAGATCCCCAATATTATTGAAAATTGATTAAAAATGTATGTCCGTTGACGGGACATGCTAACTCAAAATTTATGTTATAATTTTTTCCAAAGCTATATAATTTTCTCACTAAAACTGGCATAATTATTTCAAATGAACCTTTTCACTTTTGTAATTCGAAATTAAGATATATTTCCAATTCAATAGTTTTGATTTTATTGTAGTACTTATTTTTTTATTATTTGATCAAATGTTTCCTCACAACTCGAAAAACATACGTGTATGGTACACTACCTGTACAGTTCCGGCAAGTGGAACGCTACGACTTTTAGTGTCCCGGCTAGTGGAACACTAAAATTTTCAGTGTTCCGACCAGTGGAACACTAAAATTTTTAATGTACCGCAGTCGGTACACTATGATTTTTAGTGTACCGCAGTCCATACACTACACTACGATTTTTAGTGTACCGCAGCCGGTACGCTATGATTTTCGTTGTGCTCCGGAACAGTAACGCTACAAATATTTTTAGTGTTTGTGTACCGGTACAGTACGTTATTTTAGTGTACCTATCCACCTTGGTATGGTACAGAACACTATGGTACGGTACCATAATGTTTATTTTCGAACGCTGCGTGTAAATGATAACGCTTGTGTGCGTTGCTGCGGTGCATCAATAATAAAGGCAATGCTCAACTGATAATGCACTCAGCAAGGGACAAGCAAGTAGTTCTAGTGATAAGTACACAGAATAAGATAGCCTAAGATTTCTGTGACGGTCTAGCTCTTAAATGAATTAATATTTTTAATAAATTCAGAAGCGAATTAACATCCATAAAGAAAACTTCTTAAACAGTGATCCTTCGATAGAAAAGAAGCAGCGACCGTCAACATAAAAAAGAAATAATAATATTAAGAAAATATATATATATATATATATATATATATATATATATATATATATATATATATTATTGTAAAAGAAAACCCTTACAAGAAGCCAAAAAGGCTCATAAAAATAAAAGTAGCCAAAAAGGTTCAACAAAATAAAAAAAAAACAAAGAAGGCACAAAGAAGAAAAAAAAGCAAAAAAATGCACAAAGACACGCCAAAAAAGGGCACAAAAAAGCCAATATAGGCAAAATATTAAAAAATATTAATAAATAAATATTAATATTAAAAAAAAGAAACAAAGCAAAAAATAAATAAATAACAAACCAAAAAAAATGTCAGCAGATAGACATAATCTGTACAAGGTGCAAAATGAGATCCACAAAGAAATGATTGAGATTTCTGATAAACTAAAAAAACGGAATGGTGCGGAAAGCGGTACTAGAAGCTGTGTACAAGTCGCTCGAAACAAAAATGGACGAGGCGAGATTGAATAATGTAAAATTGAACAAACTGGGGGCAAACAATGACGTGTACTTCAAGGACAACATATGGGACCGATATATACAGAGGTATCATGCAGAAAATTAAAGAAGAACCCGAAAAGCAAGAGGTACCAGAGCTAGTGGAGCCTGGTGGTACTGCAGGAGCAAATCCAGAAATGACTGCAATTTCAACAAGAGATGCAGCAGTTTATGCAGTTGTAGATGAGTAAGGAAGCTCCTCAGCGAGAAGAAGATCAGACGGCGTTAAAAGAATGTGCCGTAATTCACCCACAGTCAAATAGTGGAGGGACAAATGCATTGTTCCGACTATATGATAACCTTCACCACTTGGGTATATTCAACAGATGAATACTAACAGACGGGAGAAAATATATATAGAAGCTCTATCCAAATCTGAACCGATTTCAAAACTTTCCACATTTCAAAACTTTAGTACGTTGTGCAAAATTTGTGTCAATTTTGTGTAAAATCGATCGAAAATATATATTTAGGAGCTTATATTAACTACAGTTTATTGTAAAAAATTGTGTGGCAATCGAACATATTTTGGGTCTCTAGTGCACAATTTACATAAAATCGGAAGAAAAACTATATAGGAGCTCTATATAACGCTTAACACACATCATTCTACACCTAATTCATTGCGCTATGCGAAGTTTCCTGCAAATCGAAAGATATATAGGGACTTTGGTACACCATTTACCTTAAATCGGACGAAAATATATATTGGAGCTATATCTAAATCTGAACCGATTTTCAGGAAACTTAACACACATCATTCTAGACCTAATCCATTTCACTATGCGAAATTTCGTGCAAATCGAAAGATATATATGGACTTTGGTACACCATTTACCTTAAATTGGACGAAAATATATATGGGAGCTATATCTAAATCTGAACTGATTTTGAGGAAACTTAACGCACATCATTCTAGACCTAATCCATTTCACTATGCCAAATTTCGGGCAAATCGAAAGATATATAGGGACTTTGGTACACCATTTACCTTAAATCGGACGAAGATATATATGGGAGCTATATCTAAATCTGAACCGATTTTCAGGAAACTTAACACACATCATTCTAGACCCTATTCATTACGCTGTGTCAAGTTTTGTGCAAATCGAAAGATATATAGGGACTTTGGTACACCATTTACCTTAAATCGGACGAAAATATATATGGGAGCTATATCTAAATCTGAACCGACTTTTTCCAAATTTCAATAGGGTTCGTCCTTGGGCCAATTAAGTGACCTGTGCCAAATTTCATCCAAATCGGATAATAAATGCGACCTGCACTATGTTAACAAAAATACATGGACGGACATGCATAAATCGACTTAGAAAGTGATTCTATGCATATTCTCAAAAGGAACCATGGGTCTATCTCGATTATTTTTGCCTGTTACTAACATATGCACAAAGACATAATACCCTGTACCACAGTATAAAAAATTTGCTAGAAATGAGACCGAGATTTTTAAGCAGCACTAAAATAAATGTCGAAGCCCTAGACCTGGCGAAATTAGAGTCAGCTCATCCTGATAGCAGCTTCCAGTGCGTAAATCTGGCCGATCCAAATTTCATTAATTGAGAAAGAATCGATCTGGAAATTGGGGCTGACATATTCCCAAATATATTGGAAAAAGGAGTTCGGCATGATGCAGCGATCGTGGGGCAGAACACGAAGTTGGACTGGATTCTTTCCAGCAAAAACGCGTATATAATCCCGCCGGCAGATCCTCACAATCCAAAAAGGCAGTACGCTCCGTTGGCGATGGCGTAATTGTCGGATTCGATGTCGTCATCGGCGAAATTGGCAGTGAGGCTGCAAATGTAACCGGTCTCTTCGGAGAACCTGTACGTGGTAGCCAATTTTCTGCCGATAAACAGCGTCGCAATCGCAATACACCAAGACCAAGGTGGACAAGGAGGTCCCAGACACAACAGTCGTTCACGTCATCTAAATAACAGAAAAACCCACAACGGCGGAGGACAAAACAATCAACAACAGAACGTTAACCAATTTCAACAATACCACCATCGCAAGCAGCGCATAAATCATATGGCTAAATAATTTAAACACTTTGTAACAACAATAGCATAACACCTAAAAATCTATGAAAGGAAACACCTTTCAAAAATAAATCAATTCAAAATCTACCACAAAACTAATATTTCTATACATCAACTAAGAACTATACACAAATATACAAGGAAACCGCAAAAAAAAAAAACAACAACTATGAAACCAACTAAAGAAGGTCGTGAATAACCAAGAAGGAAACATCGAATTAAGAGGCTTGGCGTTACATTATTTATCAGGCCACTTAGCATTTATATTAGTTTTATTTTTATCTTATAATAATATTTTTAAGGACAATTATGAAGACAAACGGATCGCAGCGATTCAGTTCCTAATTGTGCCGAATGTATAAACAGTCCATTTGCCGGCCGGGTGAATGTTCATAAAAATATGAACATAATTTACAATGTAGATCATAAAATATTTGAGTGCCTATCACAAAAATATATTTCCATAGATAAGTGCGTGTAAGTGATAATGCTTGTGTGCGTTGCTGGGGTGCATCAATAATAAAGTCAATGCCCAACTAATAATGCTCTCAGCAAGGGACAAGCAAATAGTTCTAGTGATAAGTACACAGAATAAGATAGCCTAAGATTTCTGTGACGGTCTAGCTCTTAAGTGAATTTATATTTTTAATAAATTCAGAAGCGAATTAAAATGTAACCCAACACTTCTCAAACAAATTAAAAGAACAAAAAGGCATCAAGAAATGAATAACGGTACAACACCAGCTGCAAAACCAAAAAACTAAACTATAATAACAATCAGGTAAAATACAAAGCCATCCAATTCAGAAGGCAGTACGATAACAACATTTTATTATATATTTTTTTTTTGTTCTTCATTTCTAGTATGGAGTTTATTTCACAATGCAATGTATACTATTAACCGCCGTTATTTAATTTTTTCTTATTGTCATACTAGTATACATTCGGATGACTACTATATTGTAATGGCCTGCGGACTGCTGGGAAGCTATCATTTTTTGTATCTTTGTTTTGATAAGCGTTTGCTTTATTTTTAATTATTTTCTATAAATCTAACGGTCGAAGGTTTATTTTTGAATTTCATATATACATATAAATTTTCCTACTAATTGTATATTTAATCCAATGTCTGTAATATGTCATATAACTTGAATAAACTTATAAGTATATAACATATTATGGCCTGCTAAATTAATACATTTATGTTTTCGAGCCTTGTTAACCCTACGGTCAATAACCGGGTACATTTGTACCTTTTTTTGAATAAAAATGCTGTAAATTTTTTAATAATGGAGATATTTGGATTAAATTTTGAGGAATCATTCTTGAGGTATTTTCACACATAATAGAAGAAAAAAATTATAAATATTTTCCATATATATAATTTTTAAAATTTTTTAAAGTTATTACCTACGTAGATCAATAACCGTGGTACATTTGTACCCATCCAAAGATAGCTCTGTAACTCATTAAAAAATTGGACTATCGTGAAGTTTTTTGTTTTAAATTAATCTATACGGATCTGATCTAGATGTAGGAACTCAAATTTATATATACATTAAAATAATATTTACTTAAATCCATGCTTAAATGATAATCTATCTAAAACAATCATAGTAAATCCGTTATAGCTTTCGAATGGGTTAAGCTTTTTTAGTTATTTTTTTATTGGGATTTATTTAGGTGTTCCTCAACCCCTCTGCAAATTTTTGTGGCCCTAGACAACATGGGGCCATCAGGGTGACTCGTGGAAGTCAGAAACTATCCTGGTTTTCCCTTGCTCTAAAGGGACAAAAACAATGATTATTGTCCGTAATTTTCCAATTATTCTTCATATTGGGCCTGAAACTTTTTCTATAATCGAATTAGTCTGGTTTATTACAATCCTAAATTGGCGTACATATATAAAATATAATTAAATAACGTTTTAAAGTATTAAATAATGTTAAAAATGCGCCAATCACAATCTCCAAACTCATAAAATGTGAATAATTGACAATAATAATTGTTTTAGTCCATGTATACCAAAGGAAAACCAGGGTAGTTTCTGACTTCCACGAGTCGCCCTGATGGCCCCATGTTGTCTAGGGCCACAAAAATTTGCAGAGGGGTTGAGGAACACCTAGATAAGATCCCAATAAAAAAATAACTAAAAAAGCTTAACCAATTCGAAAGCTATAAGGAATTTACTATGATTGTTTTAGATAGATTATCATTTAAGCATGGATTTAGGTATATATTTTTTTAATGTATATATAATTTTGAGTTCCTACATCTAGATCAGATCCGTATAGACTAATTTCAAATAAAAATCCTCACGATAGTCCAATTTTTTAATGAGTTACAGAGCTATCTTTGGATGGGTACAAATGTTACTTTTTTGGTTATTGACCGTAGGGTTAAGTAAATAAAGAAGTAAGTATGTTAGAGCCCCTAAAAATATATAATTATGGGCTTTCAGGACATTGACTGGAGAACCTTAAGTGCGCATTCTCACAGAGAAAGCGGTGGGAATCTACTTGCGAAAAGACATCAGTACTTCAGCTACCTTGTTTCGATGTTCTAATTAAAATAAAATATCAAAGTTGGTCTTCATTACGATAACCGAAATCAGTATTTTATGTGTCGAATATGACGTTTATAATATTTACATACCAGTTTAACGAAGACTTGTTTATAGACCACATTTTGCCCTCTGGAGCTAGGATATACAATTTCTTTGGACTGCTAATTCTTGAGCAGGCAACATAAAATTGCCCATGAGAAAAGCATGCATCTGTTGGATCAACTCCAGCGACTTTTATGGACTGCCTTGAGACTCAACATCCTTGACTCTTAACCTTGTTCCGTTACAAAGTTTCGTGGCTTTGAGTTACGTAATAGCATCACCGGAACTCCAACTTTGAGAAGAAGTGTGTGGAGTGGGAATCCAGGTGAATTAATCGGGTTTAGGAACCCGACAAGGCATTGGCCTGCGTCATCAGTTTGAATAACTTTATCAATTGATAATATTCTTTAACAATTCATTTATGATAGCTGCGCTGTCATTTTTGGGCGTTCAAATTGATGTAGGTAACTGTTAGAGTAACAGTTTTCATTTAGTTCGTCGAGAGATTGAACGCCATTGCAAAGTTTCACTGGTATCTCAACATCGGTCAAATTTAGCGGTAACTTTAAGGTTTAGGTGATGGAAAACAATTCTCTTCATTTGTATGGATGCTGTCTAATTGCTGTCTTTTCTAGTGTTTCCGAAAACTCTGGGGCCAAACACGCTGATTGAAATGTGGGACGTAGTACCGCATTAATATTCTACAGACCCGAAAACGATAATAGTCCTCTAATAAATATAACTACGTTCCTGCAAAGTCATCAACATTTCACAATTCACAAATAGAAATAGAGTAGTTTTTGTAGGGATTGTAAATCACTCTTCAATTACCCGTTGGCAATTTTCTAAATGTATTGCTAAGTGTAAAATCGACGGATTACGTTCGTGTATCGGAAAAGCTAGCATTCTCTGAAAAGCTTCCGAACTACTTATGTAGCGGCCAGAGTGATATAACTTTATTACGTCCTTTTCATTTTCCATGGAAAATATGGATTGAGCACTTCCATTATTTATATATTTGCAAATGTACATGTCATTGCATCTTGAGTACGTTCACGCATATAACTTAATTCCCCAGTAAATGCTGATGGAAGAATTAATTGACCAAGATCTAAGAAAAATATATTTTCTCTTCTTAAAGCGTCCCTCAAACTCATATAACTCTCAGCGCGAAGTTTTTTTTGATAATTTCTTATATAATAAAGTCTCTTAGTCTCCATTTTTACATACACATCCACTACACATGGATTAAGAAGAGATCTGTGATAAAGTATGTGATTTTGCGGATCGTTTCGAAACATTAAACAATAGGCAGTGAATCATATGATCTGTGAATCTTGTTAATGTGTTGACATTCATCGTCATGGCTTCGATTGACAATGTCCCGTTTTTGGAAATGTCCGTTTATCACAAAGACAATTTCTCTACAAGTCGGGGCATTATATCGTCTACATTGAGCATTTTGAGTTTTTTTTCTGCGTGAATAACAACGACAAAATTGTTGCAATTTGCTGAAACACTTTCAATACTCGTCTTGAAATCCTTGATATAAGTATTTGCTGCATGAACAATTATTTGCAATTCTTTAACTATACTCTGTGGAATCACACCACCAACCAAATGATAAACTTGAAGTTTGGCATACAATCCGGTTCATTATTTTGCTTTTTTTGCAAAGGAAAACATCCAATGTATTGCCGTATAAATTTCAGAAATGTTTATGATCATGATGATTTTCAACTAAAAGTGGCATTACATATTCTGATAAGAGGCGAATATGTAATGAAAGACAGCACATTCCTGGGGACTTCTGTTTAAATTTTAACGCATATACAGCTTTTTTCTTTTCTGTGCATTTCTGGGTGTTTCCTTTGATATGCAGCCTTTTCCTCTCTGTGCACTTCTGGATGTGCCTTTTGATATAATGCCTTGATCTTTCTGTGTACTTCAGGATGTTTTCTTTTCTTTCTATGAACTTCAGCTGATAAGTGGCAGCAACTTTTCTGTGAGATCCAGGTTGGGTTTTTTCGTATTTCTCCTTTGCTATTTTCAATTGTTTATTTCAAATGTCGTAAGAAACTTTAGGCTGTAATTTTTAACATCTGTACTGGTTCAGTTTTCTACAGGATGTTGAGTTATATAAACATCGAAGTGCCGAAGGCCAGCCAGCCAAAATTAAAATATCTTTAAATTTCTAATTCTATTTCCGTTTCATTACATTCAACCAAAAATTTTGCCATCTTTTTTTTGGGTTTGGAATCATATAAGTTCCACGCATGTTTTAAAA